CAGTTCCTTTTGTCAGACAAACTACTCAGACTTCACAGCTGTGCTTTTGTGTAAAATCTCTCCCAAGTCATACCCAAGTGGGCTCAATTGTTCCATCTTCTATTCCATTTTATTCCATTCTAATATTATGGTTTACAAATCTGACCCTTCAACTAGACTGATATAAAGATTACATCATGCTCATTTTCCATAATCAGTATCTAAACATAGAATGGAAAGCAATAGTCTCAGATTTAAATCCCACTGCCATACTTATTCTATGTGACTTTGAAAACATCTGCAGAACCTGTTCTCTGCATCTGTGCAACTGAGATAATATCTAACCTGCCCCGTTTTTTTTTAAATTCATCATATTAGCAGTAAAGAATTTAGCACAATATCTGAAACATAGTGAACATTCACTTACTTCTCAGGAAACAATTGTGCATAATTAATTAGGTGTTCATTTTAACTTCCTGAAGGCATTAAGCTTGTTTATTGTTTTCTCAAAGACAACTTGATTTCCTTTCAGTGTCTATGTTGTAAATTTTTCTGTGTTTGGCTTGGTTTATTTGTGAATGAACTCTTTTCTAAATCAGAGATGGAGATCTGTATTGCTTCACCAAATCATGTATTTTGAAGTATAAGAGAAACATCTACTAAAAAAGAAGGCCTTTGGTTAAAAGAGTCTAACTTTTAGAAAATCAGAGTTTATGGTTTTCTCAAATTAAAAGAATCTTATCATAGACTTTTAAGTGTATCTTCTGAAATCTGTTCTGCCTGAGGCAGTGGAAGACAGAGCTAAGCAGGACTGTGCCATAGGTTTGTATCTACCTGGTGGTCAAAGGATCTATGAACTTCTCCCACTGTGTGATTCTCAGCTTTACAAATAATTCTCTCCTGGCTCAGCATCTCAGAGAATCAGGCTGTGGCACTTTTAGAGATTAATTATTGAATAAATGAACTGATCATCAAATGCATCAGATGGGAAAATGTGAGCTATTCTATAGAGATCAATGCCTATTGTTAGTGAAACTAGAGTGAAACAATAACTAACATTTTACAGTAAGTAACAATTTACTGAAGGTGTCATAATATATCATTATCTAATTTGTCGACTACCATGATAAACTAAACTAGTTTCAGTAGATGTAATTTCTTCAGATTGATTATTTTGGAGACAGTGTTTTGTAGTAGATAAAATCATGGGTGTTGAAATTACAACCAAATTTGAATTTTTCCCTGTCCACACAGTATTTTTACGGCTTTAAACAAGTTACCGAAGCCTCAATTTTCTCATTTGTAAGATGAGAATAATATTTCCACTTCAAAGCACATTGTGACTATTACAGAAGGAAATGCAAGTAAAGGATTAGGACAGTATGAACTCTGAATGTACTGTTAAGAGTTGCTCTAGTTGTTATTAATGTGGTTTAATGCCTTCTCTAACTCCACATTCATCAACTAAAATTTACCTGGCCCTGAACTGAAGATTTTCATTTTGAATATCTTAGCATCTTTAATATAGATATTTGTTTTCTCTTTCTCTGTGAAGGGCATCATCATGCTCTTTCTTAGATGGGGAAGAAGTATAAATGAATCTATATTTCACTCATGTATTTCTTAACCATAGGCCCATTCTTTTCTTTTCTTTTTCTTTTATTTTTTAAGAAGTGGGGTACAGGCCAGAGTCACGGGAGGGGGTGTGTGAGAAGATTCACCAGAGAGAACAGGGTGCAGAACAGGCAGATATACTGAAATACACTGCTGAGTGGAGCAGCGGGTGAGACAGGAGGCTGATGATACCCTCAGAGCACTGTGCTCAATCCCTGCATCACCAGAGAGGCCCACCATAGGCCCATTCTTGCAGATACCTGCCAGTCCCCCATGGCCAGGTTCTCCTCCAGTCTTTCTACCCCCCCACTTGAATTATTCTCACACCATCAACTTGACATCGAATTATAAACCCTCAGTTTCAAATCAGTTTATAAGGTGCTTTCAACTATATTCTTTTACACAAATTTCTTCTATTTTTTAATCTCTGTTTATTTACACATCTTGTTCTTAGAGACTTACATCCTGACTTCCCATCCTACATACCATTTAAAAAACTACATACCAAAAACAAAACCAAAAATAAATAAATAAATAAATAAAAATAAAAAACTACATACCATTAAATGTACTCATTCTTTTATTTTAACTTTTAATCTTTAATGACCGTTTATTTTGAACCAGGAAGAAACCAAATGTGCTAGAGGTTAGGTGTGTTGCTAACAGTTATCATAGCTTTGTGTTTGGTGGCAATACTCAGATTTGAATCTAGGACTCACTAATTTAAGAACTCTCTCTCGTAAGCTCTAAGATGATTTTTCTATAGAGTGTGTTGATTAAATTCTCATTCTCCCTGATTGTCCCTGCCAACCTTTTTTCTCTTTCTCTTTTATTTCTATTACCATTTGTCTATGCCTATTTTATAGAACTTGCCATATGCTGTTATAGAGTGAAATCCTAGTGTATATATCTGATTTCTTATACTGGATACTCAATTACTCAATTTCAATAAGAACTTACTTATTTCCTTTTCAACTTTTCTGGTGGTATCTTGCACAGAGTTTTATATCAAACAGGTACTTAGTATATCTAGAATAAACTAAAATGAATTAAATGGATTTCACTGAGCCAGTGCCCATAGGTATACAAAAGTGGTTTAGGGTTCTCTTTCAGCCTTACTGCCCTTTAAATGTCACCCTGTGCAAAGAAAACAGACTCTAGGAAAATAGATGTGCATTATGATTCCATCTCTGACACTTAGCAGGATTGTGACTTTGGCTAAGTTAAGTGAACCAATTCTTTCCTTATACATGAAATGGAACAAGAATACCCATCACATATATGTTGTGAGCATTAAAACAGCATACGTAAAGCATTTAGCACATGCGTGGCCCCTTATATGCTAAATGCAGGCTTATTTATTTTTTAGTCTAGTACTTTCTATTATGTAGTAATATGAAAACTAGGAACCACAGATTTCTTTCTAGTGATTTTTTTTTTTTAAGCAGGCATCACAAATGCAAGTGACAAACTCTGAGTGAATATACAGAATTGCTTCTACCTAAAGTAATTGTCAAGTCTTCTGTGAGGAGTCAGCAGCCTTCGAAAGCGCTTAAGGCATATTGGAAGGAGAAAGTGAGCCAGTTGTGAGAGCTGCTGCTAATAATTCCCACTTCAGTTTTATTCCAATTAGGTTTTAGTTAGTCCAGAGAAAAAGTATGGTCAAGAAAATAAACCCAGAACACAACAAAAGAGAGGAGTCCATGTGGATTGGTTTTCAGATGCATGAGGCTGCTTATTAAGTGTCAGTCTTATGAACGGATACACACAGAAACCATAACCCTGAAAATCAGCCATTAACTAGAACAGGAGAAAATATTCAGAGAAACCATCTTGGGGCTTGTGCCTCTTTGGTCCAGGCTGTGAAGCAGGGATTCTTGTATTTGGTTTTCCACATTACACAAGCAAGAAAATGGAACCAGTAAATTAATAGAATGGCAATTCTATCTAATTTATTTTATTTGAATATGAAATTTGAAATATGATTTCTGATAGGGACTTTAATAAGTACACAGAATAATACAAATCAGAGTGTAGAAGTGAGTTCGATTTAGGTTCATTTATTCAATAAATATTTCTTGAGGGCCTCCCCTGGTGGCGCAGGCAGTTGATTGCAGCACTGTGAAGCTGTCCGCAGCCTCTGCAGCACCGGTTCGATCCCTGCTGGCCGGCGAGGGTCCCAAATGGCCCGGCCGACCTCTCCTGTCTTGCCCGCTGCTTCCCTCAGCAGTGTGTTTCATCAGTCTGCCTATTCTGTTCCATGATCTGTCTCTGGTGAATCCTCTCACCATCCTGCGCATCTGGCCTATACCCCGGTTCTTGTACAAACAAACAAACAAACAAACAAATAAATAGTTAAAAATTATTTCTTGCATATATACTGTGTATGAAGAATAATGACATAATTTAGATATAATGTTCAAAATGACATACTTTATGCTCAAATATCTTTTAGTCTGAAAGGGAAAGATAGCATTCATAATTTGGTAGAGTAGTACTGTTCTAGAGGGAAACAAACAATGTTGACATTATTTGTTTATAGTGGTTAGGCTAGGCACTAAAAGTTTTATTTTTAGCTCCTTTACTTTTCAAAAAACTATTGGATAATACTATTGTTGCTCCTAATTTATAGATGTGAATATCTATAAATTGTGAATGTCTATAAACACACACAAGCGCAATCTGATTTTGTGCAGGTAACAAGATATTAGAGCTGGATTTAGATTTAGACAGATTCAAAGTCTAAACTTTTAAATTCTATATATGCTGAACTATTGGAAATAGCATAGCTAGATAAAATTCAGGCTATAAAATTAAATTTAATCTGTGATAAATGACATTTTTTTTTTTTATTATACTGTTTTGGGCCACCCTGGTGGCACAAGGGGTTAAGCACAGCATTGTGAAGCTGTCTGCAGCCACTGCAGTATGAGTTCGATCTCTGGCCTGGAAGCTACCCACATGGTGCCTCAGACCTCTCCTGGCTTGCCCTCTGCTCCCCTGTGCAGTGTATTTCAGTCAGTCTGCCTGTTCTGTTCCCCGCTCTGTCTGGTGAATCCTCTCATCCCCCGCATCTCTGGCCTGTACCCCAGCTCATGTATACATAAATAAACCAATCTTTGAAAGAAGGTAAAATTGTTTTGTGTCAGTGGTAACATTGGTTTATAACACTGTATAAAAATTAGGGGTACAGCTTCACGCCTCTTGGAATGTATGTATATGTCACCACATCAAGCCTACTGCCACCAAATATTTTTTGGCATACATGCAATGTTTGTTACACAGCTAAAAATGTTTATCTGAAATTTATACTTAATTGGGCATTATGCCTTTTTTATTTCATAATACTCTTTATTTATTATTTATTTGATTATTATGTTTTAACAACCTTGTTTATTTTTTCACAGTATAGGATTTCTCCCCTCAGGTGCAGTCTCTATTACCTGCCTTCTCTGCTCTCCCATTCTCCTTCCCTCCCACACCTGAATGGATCTAAGTTCTGCTTGCAGGGTGAGTCTTAAAAGTTTGTCTTTGTCTGACCCTTTGTTTGGTTTCTCTGGATTCACATACAAGTGAAACCACCCAATATTTATCTTTCTCCTTCTGGCTCACTTCACGTAGAATAATCCTTTCCAGTTCCATCCATGTTGCCGCAAATGGCATACGTCATTTTGCCTTTTTATTTGCTAAAACTGACAATCCTAGTTGTAGTTCAAAGGAGTTTTACTTAATCTTGCTTTGCCAAGAGAAACCAAAGAAAAAGATGAGAAATTATTTAAACCACTTTGTTTGATTTAAAAGTCATATTATCTTCTGGCCTTATTCTCTGTTATATTTTTAATGTATGTGATAAAAATCATGTTACATCATGTATTATTTCCTGCTTGATATACATAGTTAATAGTATAGTGAAAATGTATTATATCAAGGAAACATTTGCCAGTAGCCGTTGAGAACAATAATATAATATGCCTCATATTGTAAATTTAAGTAGATAATGCATATTAAGTCTGGATCTCTTGAAAGAATGGAGTTGTTATGTTGGTGATGAATATTTCTAGTTTCACAACTGTACTACTTTTATAGTTGTTACTTGAAGAGTAAATTGATATTGATCCTCACAATAAATTTTGATATAACCCAAGGCAAAGAAAATGATATTTCAGTGATGAATAAGCATCGTTTGAGACTAAAGGTCACAGCTGTGACTCAGGAATTCCTCCTTGTAATTCAAAACTCTTTTAGCCTAGTTATCATCTTAGATTAAGCATATGTGGAATTATTTCAAAATCTAATCTATCCTGATGTCTCAATTTTGCCTCCATAATTTCTTTTTGGATGCTGATTGAGGTAAAACATTTTGTTGGAATTAAGAATTAAGGCCTTATATTAAAGTTGTGTTTGTTCATCAATCCTTACATTCAAATTGCATGTTATAAATTAAAATAATTGACTGTTTTAAATATAATTTATATCAATTTTATGCACAATTGAGGAAGCATTATTCTTCTCTGTCTGTATATTTAACATGAATATTCCGTGATGGTGGTTTTATTTGAGATGAATTTTTAAAAACTGGTGGATAAGTATGCCCTCTGCATTCCCAAGATCAAAAAGTGTGTTACATAAGGGACTTTGGTGGTGGTTGAGGTATTGGGACGTACATCTGATGAGGCATCGCCCTATACCTCTGAATTGTATACAGTGCTGTCAACAATGTCACCTCAATGAAAAATAAAGTCTACTACATGGGTGTTGTAGCCTAATCATGCAGCTATAACAAAATGTCATAAACTGGGTATCTTTTTTTTTTAAGATTTATTTATTTATGCATACAAGAACTGGGGTACAGGCCAGAGGTATGTGGGAGTGGTGAGAGCATTCACCAGAGACAGAGTGGGGAGCAAAACAGGCAGATGTACTGAAATACACTGCTGTGGGGAGCAGCAGGTGAGACAGGACAGGTCTGCTGTGCCATGTGGGTTGCTCCCTGGCTGGCTGGGGATCAAATCCATGCTGCAGAGGTTGTGGATAGCTTCATAGGTTGTGTCTTAACACCTTGCGCCACCAGGGAGGCCCTTAAACTGGGTATCTTATGAAAATAAAAAGTTGTTCACATTTATGGAGGCGGGGAAGTCCAAAATCAAGACACTGGCAGCTTGGTGTCTGCTGGGTGGTGTCGGCTGGGAGTCCACTTTCTCGATTATAACTTCTCACCATGTACTGACATAGCAGAAGGGCCTGGGGAGCTCGCTGCAACCACTTTTATAAGGACACAGTCTCATTCATGATAGTTCCTCCCTCATGACCTAATCACTTCCCAAAAGCTCCCCCTGGGGGTAAAGGGGATATAAATTTATACAAATTTGGGGTCACAAAAACACTCATACTAGAGCAATAAGTTATAAATGTCATTATTAATCATTTACTAGATTGGACACTTCTCTCCTTGCACAATCTCAGTTAATTCTCATGAGGACCCCGTGATGTAGATATAAATAGTTATTAAATGGTTCCAGGTATCCTAGTAAATAAAGTTTAGGAAAAAACTATAAGACTTAGTCTTAAAGTGCTTTTATTTATTGAAAAATCATCAAAATTATATCATATTGAACAATTTTAGTAATCTGACAAAACACAATACATTGATATATACAAGAACAAGGAAAGGACCTCTCATGTGGCAAAGGGGTTAAAGACACAGCACTATTAAGCTATCGCCAACCACTGCAACATGAGTTTGATCCCTAGCTGAAGAGATAACCCATATGTGCGGCAGACCTCTCCTGTCTCACCTGCTGCTCCCCTCAGCAGTATATTTCAGTAGATCTGCCTCTTCTGCTCCCCACTCTGTCTCTGGTAAAACCTCTCTCTCTCTCTCTCTCTCTCACACACACACACAACCCACCTTTGGCCTATACCCAGTTCTTGTGTGCACAAATAAATAAATCTTTAATAAAAAGAACAAAGATACCATGGATGCTTAAAAAAAAGAACAAGGATACCATGCATGCTCAGATTAAAAAAAAAAAAACAAACAGATAAGAGGACAGAAAAACACCAAATGATTTCTAATTTCTAATTTTATTGACATGTCCAACCCTAAAATTAGTATATTTGATATCTCTTTCACATTCCTGGTTCTCTGTTCCTTTTGTCATGTTTTTGGCATTATTGAAAATTATTTTAGTTGAAATATTTTTAATGAAAAAAGTAAGGCATAAATAAAACAGAGTATTATGTTCATATCTAAAATGGTGATTCAAATGTATGTTGCTATGTCTAGTAAATGTAATACCAGTGTTCTGTTTTGGTTAATTTATTAATTCAATAGTTTTCTGTGAAATTTCTGCTAATTATTTAATGATCCCCAAGAGCACAAGGCCTATTAACTGAGAGACCCAATAGTAAAATACCAACACTCATAAGCTGAGAATAAAATCTAATGTCGGAATTTGAATTCCTCTAAATAAATGATGGAGATCCCTAAGATAGTGGCTATGAAATTTTATCATGTTACTTTTCTGCCTAAAGTTCTCAATGGCTCTTCAACAAGGGTAGGTATAGACTTCGCTAAAAGCCTGCACAGCTTTCTAAACCCTCTGTAGACTGCCTTTCCATTCTGTTTTCCAACACAGCCCCAAATTAAAACCCCAGTAACACCAACATATATTCAGTTCCCTGGCAAATAAATGGCAGGCCTTAGAATCTTTCCTTATGCTGTTTCCTTGTCTGGAAGTTACAGACTCAGTTAAGCTTCTCAGTGAAGTCTTATTAGAGTCTTTTTTTCCCTACACTCATTGAATGACTGTTCTCCTATTGATCGTAAAATGTATTCTGTATTGGATTAGATACATGGAAGGTAGCATGAAATTGGGGGGAAATACTGGCTTTTGCATTAACCCATCAGTGTTCATATCTAGGTAATGTTAATTATTACTGTGTGGGTTCCCTAAACTTAACTTTCTCTTCAGTAAACAGGATAGAATAACAACATACTAATTAAAATTATTATAAAATTAAATTAAAAAACCTGTAATGTACCCAGTCGATGTGCAGTATAATCAATAAACAATGGTTATTATAATTTATTTCATTAATGAAGACTGATAGGAGAACTGTTTAGAATTCACAAATTTTTGAATTGGCTGAGTTTTAAACAAAGTAATTTGATAATATTCATATAAGTCATAGAAACTCTTCTGTTATCGGCTAACAACTTTACAGCAGCAATTTTGGCAGAATAGAAAGACCATATTCTATTGCTTAGTTATTCATTGATATGTAGAAAACTACCCCCAAACAACACTACTAATTCATTAGTTCACTAAAAGAGTAAGGGCTGGCTCTAATCCACACACACAGGCTGTTCAACTTGACCTTGGTAAAACCACTTTCAATATGGCTTATGTTCACGCCAAGGGGTAGGACCCATGTTTCTCTCCACACAGGCCTCTCCAAGAACCATTTGGTTCCTTTAACACATGGTGGTTAGGTTCCATGAGTGAGCATCCCCAGAAACAGAGAAATGGAGATTGCCAGTTCACTCTAGGCCAAGCCAGAAACTGGCACAATGTAACTTCCACTGGACTCTATTTGTCACATGGTCATAGAGACCCATTTCAAGGAGAGAAACATAGACACACCACCTTTGATAAAAACAGTGTCAAATAATTTAGAGGACATGTTTTAACATGTTTTAACATCTCAAAACTCCCAGCAGTCCATGCTGGAGTCTAAATGTGACTGCAGGGTAACTTGATAAAAAAGCCCATTTCATAAAACTAAGGAAAATGTCAGAAGTTCCCAGAAATGTCAAAATAATTTTCCCAGAAAGAAAATGAAAATGATTTCAATTTCCTTAAATTTGTTGTGGCACCTTAATTCCCATGATGGAATAGACCAGTGAACGACTGCACATGTATGATGCCTTCTATCAGTGAACTGGTTACAGAAAAAGAATGTTCTGGAATAGATCTGTAGTTTTAACACTGTGTATTGCTATAATGAACTGGAGAGTAGGAATAGGAGGAGAGTAGAAGGTAGGAGCTAGAGTAGGAGGGTTTAGCAAATGGTAAGCATCATGAAGGACTAAATAATATTCAGATTAAATTATCTCCAAACAATCTGCTTCCATGCAAACAATGCCTCTTTTTCATACATGCATGCTATTTGTATTTAAACTGAATAGCTGCTTTATACTGTTTCTACCATTATTGAATACTGCTTCTCCTTCACAAATGAACTTCTCTGTGTACAAGATCATGTGTGGATACAGAGTAACAACCGACAATCTATAAGGGAATCCCCTTAAAGACATTAGGTTAATGTGTAAGGCAACTTTATATAAAGAATAATTTTTTTTGAGATTTATTTATTTATACATACAAGAACTGGGGTCCAGGCTAGAGGTGTGGAAGGTGAGAGAATTCACCAGAGACAGAGTGGGGAACAGAATAGGCAGACTGACTGAAATACACTGCTGAGCAGAGCAGAGGAGAGTCAGGAGA